AAAAAATATATAAGATTTTTAAAAATTTATAAGACTTTTTTTAAAGAAGTTTTTTTTGAAATCTTAATCTAATTCATCCTTTTATTTTTAATATATTTCTTACATATTATAAGTTAATTGATGGATTTCTTTTCACCTATATATATCTTTGTTATTCAATTTTTTTTTTGTGAAAATATCTTTATTATTTAATGATAATTAACCTTGTAGCGGTCAGAGGATTTTCATTGAGTCCTTCAAGGCATTTCTCAGTTCAACTGCAAACATCGAACTGTTCTGAATTGAAACATTCTCATTTCAGTTACCTTGCTGGTTTCAGAACTCTATTCTAGTTGACTCTAGTTCTTAACATTTCTGGCTTATTAATCTTTTCATGTGAATTTGGACTGTAATTAAACACATGCAGCCTCGACATGCAACCCAACGAAGTACTTATCTGGCCGATGTGGAGGAAAATCGAGAGTCGTTATCTTAATTGGAGGTAAGCTGTGCTTATTTCATGTGTTTGGGGCTAGGAAACAATGAATTTATCAACCACGCATGTTCTTGCTCTTGAACGTTCACTTTTTTTGCAGGGTTTGTTATTGGTGTTTCGCTTATGGTTACTATGGGTTCACTATGTTGCTTATTCCGGCGGCGCTCCAAACTGAGAATCACAAAGAGCACAAAAAGACGCTTAACCGAAGCCACTGGCAACAATGACAGCGTTGCCATCTATCGCTACAAAGACATCGAGAGAGCCACAAATAGTTTCTCAGAGAAACAACGACTGGGAACTGGGGCATTCGGGACGGTGTACGCTGGAAAGCTCTACAACGATGAATGGGTTGCCATCAAAAGGTTAAAACACAGAGACACCGACAGTGTTGAGCAAGTAATGAACGAGATCAAGCTCCTTTCCTCGGTTAGCCACACCAATTTAGTTCGCTTGTTGGGATGCTCCATTGAATACGGAGAACAAATCCTCGTCTACGAGTTCATGCCCAATGGAACACTCGGTCAGCATCTGCAAAAGGAGAGAGGGAATGGTCTTCCATGGCCTGTTCGACTCACCATTGCCGCTGAAACAGCACAAGCCATAGCACATCTTCATTCAGCCATTAGTCCTCCCATTTACCACAGAGACATCAAGTCCAGCAACATACTTTTGGACCAGAATTTCAGGTGAGAGTAATGGCATACAAACCAAAAACAATTAGTGGCTCCAATAGATTTATATCCCATTTTTTATAAGACATTTAGTTAAATGTTATTGATTTTTTTTTTCTATCATTTAATTGATCTTTATATTACATAAAATGATAAAACTGTTCCGGTCACAAAGGAAATTTTGTTATCGGACCACTGAATTGTTCTCCTCTCTATTTTCTCTGTGTGTTTTATATGCTTCCTTCATAGTTAAAAAACTAAAAAAATAATATAATTCAATTATGTGTCTTTGATCAAAATCATGTGGTCCGGACTAGATAATAGTTTTTCCTTCTTGTAAAATCATATTATTCGTTGCATGTGTTATGCATACTTCTCTCCTCTTCTGTTTAGGTGCATATTTGCTGAAGATGTGATCATTTTTGTTCCAGGTCGAAAGTGGCAGATTTTGGTCTTTCTAGACTTGGGATGACCGAAAGATCCCACATTTCAACTGCCCCACAAGGAACCCCTGGCTATGTTGATCCACAGTACCACCAAGACTTTCACCTCTCTGAGAAGAGCGACGTGTATAGCTTCGGTGTTGTTCTTGTCGAAATCATAACGGGACTGAAAGTGGTGGACTTTTCACGTCCGCCTAACGAAGTGAATCTAGCTTCTCTTGCTGCGGAGAGGATCCAAAAAGGGGTTTTGGACGAGATAATAGACCCGTTACTTAAACCCGAAGCAAGTAGCGATGCATGGACCCTTTATTCCATTCACAAGGTGGCTGAGTTGGCTTTCAGGTGCCTTGCGTTCCACAGGGACATGAGGCCTTCGATGACAGAAGTGGCGTCTGAGTTAGAACAGCTTAGGTTGAAAAGGTGGACAACATTGGCAGACAGCAATTGTGCAACATCGACGGATTTGTCCTCTTGCTCTTCCTCTTCCTCTTCCAATGAAAGTGAGAAACCACTGAGCACTGCAATCAGGAAGGTTGAGCAAAAGGGTAAAGGGTGCCTCAAGCTCCAAAATGGGCTTGGGCTTGTTACTTTAAAGTCATTACAAAGGCCCAATAGTAGCTCAACAGACCAAGAGTTGTGGTTGAGTGCATAGCTCTCCTTTGTCAATTAGTTTTCCAAGCAAGTCATTTGATTGAGCAAAGCTCACTGTTTCATCAAATCAAATGCAGTAGTTTGCTTGTAAATCATTTGAATTAACCTCGAACGAGGTAAACAAACAAACAAACCCGAATTAATGTGGGAAAGACATGCTTCTGCACAGGGAAAAATCCTTTTTTGTGTTATAGATGATGATTTTAGGATAAATATAGTTTATATAGTTTGTGGACGAAATTAGCCAAATTCGGCGACAAATATTAGCCGGTACGAATTTCCATTGTTTTTTCTTCTATATATAAAAAGGGAGGATAGAGTAATTCGTTTACTTTAGGAGTAAGTATATTTATATTTATTTTGTTTAATAATATATGTTCTATATCAAATTTTAATGATCTAACAGTTGAATTTAAAGTTCTTGATACATAGATCAAATTTACAAATTTAAAAAGATTGAAAATTATTTGATATTTTATTTTATTAATTTAATTTGACAAGATAAATAAAAATATTTTATACGTTGATTTAAACTAATGAAATGAAGTATCAAATCAAATTTTTTTTAAAAGTTGTAGACTTGATTTATGTATTAGGAACTTTAAGTTCATCAGTTTGATCATTGAAATTTAATGTAAAATATGAGTTATTTAACAAAATAAGTCTAGGTAAACTTATTATAGAATAAATGAATTCTTATTGATCTATTAAACAAAACATTAAAGATAGATTAATTCCTAAACTATTAAACAAAATGTTAAAAATAGATTAATTCCAACAAACATAAAATGTTTTGACAAATTCAACATGTTTAAGTCACTTTTAGTGTATAAAATTGTTAATTATGATAAAATAAATCAAATTAAAGATATTTGTCTTTGTCTTTGTGTTTTTTATTTTTTATATTTTACTTTTATGTTTCACTTTTATCACCTAAAACTAAAATAAATTATTTTTTTATGAAATCTAAGGAAATTTTTTTTCTCCAATTTTTATTTTATTGTATTTGAACACAAAATATTGATAGTATAACTTTTTAGCACATAAAATTTTAAATAATGCTAGAAAAATTATATTATTGATATGAAATATCCACCTATTTCGTTGATGATTAATCTTTATCAGAGACTCTAACCGATCATTTTTAGGAGGATCTTCCTTCCTAATCACATTTTTATCCATATACAAGATTGAAACTTATTTTTTACTTTTATGTTTCACTTTTATCACCTAAAACTAAAATAAATTATTTTTACTTATAATGTCGATGAAGTTTTAAAAATGATAGAATGTACAAAAAAATCATAGCTCCTTTTAATAATAATTACTTTGATTACTCTTGACATCAAATTTTTTCCTCATTTACATTTGTAAAACTCAACTCTTATTCCTAAAAAAGAAAAAGAAGAAGAGAGTTTTATATTTTTAACTGATTAATGCAGCAACAAAGTTACGTAAGAAACTCTCTACCTTATCAACACGCTTTATTGGAAGTCCGAGCATCACTCACGTAAGATCCTTACTGAGAGTCTCTCCTAACCAAGCCATTAACTGCCTAACTGGGTCCCATCTATCCTTTCCGGCTACGAGTTTCATATGGTTGAATACATGTGGATATAATTGATTTTGAATGAATGGGAATTTATTGAACTAATTTTGAATAAATATAAATAAAAGTCAAATATATTGGAGTGGTGTGCATTTTTCGCATCTAAAAGCTTGCTTTCTTGAGAGACGTGAAAATGACGGCAGAACCCAAGGGCGAGGTCTCAACTTGAACATCAAACGAATCATAACGAAGAAACAACTCCACCACCAGAAGCCTTGAAAACAAAACCACGAAATCCTTACCCGCACATTGCTTGTTCCCAAGGGTGGCTTCCTCCGTCTCGGGACCATTCGACCAAAGCACGTACTTCAACAGCTTCTCTCCCTCCCCCACGAACCGGTCCCCCACAAACTCCTCCGCATTCTCAAATATCTTCGGATCTTTCGTCGCAAAGGGTTGAAACCCAAACAGCATTTCCCCTTTCTTCACCGAAAATGAATTCTCATGGTTCTCGATCACCAAGTCCCTCTTCGCCTTCCCGTACTGCAGCGCCACCGGCGGTTCGATCCGAAACGCCTCGTAAACCACCGACTTCATCAACGGCATCATTTCCATCGCCGCCATCGTCACCTTCCCGCCGCTAGACTTAACGGCGGCCCTGACCTCCTCCGCTAGCCGCGCGTGAAGCTCGACACCCGCACGTGCAACCCACTTCAGTATGGTGGGGAAAAATATCCTCATGCCGCCAAACGAGTTGAAGCACGTGGCGAATAAAAGGTTGTGGCACGCTTCTTCTCTGGGGATGCCGAAACGCACCGCTTCGTTAAGTACGGACCCGGCGGACACGTAGAAGAAATCGTAGAGCCTCTGGTAATCTTTCTTGATGAGAAAAGCGGGGATACGGAAAGTGTGGAGAGTGGGATCTTCGAGGAATTTGGGCAGGCCCAATACCATAATTGGGCCAAGCTGGAACAGAACCCATTTCTGGATTATGCTTGGGCCGTCGCTTCCGAGCTGTGTGTCGGAGGGGTTTGTGGCATAAAGCGCGCGAGCGAGGAAGTTAAACGCTGCTTGGTCGTTGGCGTCAGCGAAACTAGCTTTTCCTTTGGAAGCGAGGTCGTTCTCCAAGGTGTCGAAGAGGGTGGCGTAGCTGGAATGGAACTCGGGGATGACGTGGCTGCTTCGGGACTTGAGGAGGAAGAACAGGAGGCGCTTGAGTTTTTCGTGTTTAGGCTCGGAGGGGTCGAGGTAGGAGAGGATTCGGTAACCGCCGGTGAGTTCGGTGGAGGGCATGAAGGTGCCGGTGAAGACGTCGCGCTTCTCGACTTTGGTGACGTCGAAGAGGACGGGGAAGCTTTTGGCGTCGAGCAAAACGATGACGTTTGGGTTGGAGGCGATGAAGGGGCCAGGTGGCATGTTGGCGCGGAAAACGGTGGAGTTGTAGTTTTGTTGGCGGGATTTGAAGTAGTTGTCGCGTCCTTGGTTGTAGAAATAGTCGAGGCGGTCTTTGATTGGTCCTATGAATGGGAGACCGTAATCTCCGGGGATTTCGCGCATGGGAAGCTGGGTGGTCTCGCGCTCTGGCGACGACGCCGTTTCGGAGACTGAGGCTTTGGCTGTAAAATAACGCATGGAGGAGCGCTTCAAGTTGTTGCAGGGCTTTGCCTTGAATGAAGCGTGTAGTTGTTGCAAAGGAGGCACAGAGGTGATTAATGCCATTTCGGTCTTATGCTGTGTTTGTTTTATAGTTTTAACGCCGTTTATCTCAAGTTTTTTCACGACAGAAACGTAAAAGCAAGATAGGAGATCGATGGATTGACGTTCATGAAACGTAAAACCAAACACACTCTTATTGGTTGAAAACCAAAAATGAAACAAGTCAAGAATGATAAATGTTAATATGACGACTCCCAGTACCTAGTATGGAGTTCCTTTCGGTTGGTGATTGTTTCAACTTTCGACTTTCCGTTTGGGTATTTATGGAGATTCATTCAATGGCAGAGTACTATTCCAAAATGAATTCTGCACGTGTTAATACAATAGTATTCAAATTTTCTTTCGTCACGGCTCATGGGACTGGTTATTATTTGCCAGATAGTATGACTCGGTGGCTAATAAATATTTCTATTATATGTAATTAAGGATTATTAATTTTTTTTAACTATTTTTTTTTTAAATATATATTATGCCAGGATCGGTTAGAACCATCAACACCGAGTACTATATAATTTTTGCGGTATTAGGGTTTAGCGCGGAAAATGAAAATGAATCGCTCTAAACACAAATGAAATGTGAAATTATAGCTTTTTATTCAAATAAATATTAATTAAAAAGTTAAAAATAATATACTGTATATAATACGGAGTAATTCGTTTTTACGGAAACGGAATGCATGGTTAGTCTGAATTAACGAAACTATATAAATTTTATTTTGCTAAATTTCTGTTAACTGTTGTCACAAAAGGAATTATTATCAGAATATTACTTACACTAACATTCTTTTAGGTGTGTAAATATTATACTGTCATCTTTTTTTTTTTTTAAATAAATATTTTACTCTCTTGATAAATACAAATATTATTCTTTAACAATTTATTTTTTGGTATAATTATCCCTTAATTTACATATTTAATTATTATTTTAAAAAAATATTATAAAATTTCTAAAATTAATTATATATTTAAAATAAAATTTTAATTATTAAAATATTTTAAAGTTATCAAAATAAAAATAATATATACAAGTATAATAAAATCAAACAAATATATTAAGATAGTATTTAATTAATGTAGTTAATATAATATTTTTATAAACATTTAAACAAAACAATATTCTTATTATATAGTATTTATTAAATATTAAACTAAGATAATATATATCCCGTAATGGTGGCACGACTAATTAACTTTTTTCGCCCTTTATTTAGCATCTGGAATCGAATTCCATTTTTTGTTAAAAAAGAAAAAATCAAATAAAATTTGTTTGGATTTAATTTAAACGGTACACAATAGAGGTTAGAAGAGCCTTGATAGCTTTTAAAGATTACATGAAAAAAACGTGAATCTCCTCCACAAATGTGAAACCAGACACACCAATATTAATGATATCGATCGTCGGCTGGTCTACCCTTTAACTGTCATTTTAACCACAAACTTGAATTTTCAACGAGCTGTAGCTTTCATAGTAGGAAGGAACTGGCGTGCTAGCGGCAACCATTTATTTAATGAAGGAAAAAAAAACAGAAGAGATTACGTCTTCAAATTTTGAAAGAAGTTTCGTCTTTGGAGTTGTCAATAGATGATGTCGATATAGTCCATAAAGACCCCAATGCCACCTGCAATTTAATTTTTGTTCCTACCATAATTTTACAAGTGCTCCCACAATAGAAATGATGTTTAGAATGCTTTAATGTTCATGACTGTACAACACTAAAGACACTTTGAAGTTCAAGTTAAAGAAGAGTTTAAGTGAAGAATTAGGTTAGGATAATATGATATATGATATCTCATATATATGTTTGGTAGTGTCACATGATATCTTTATGTGATTGTGTAGGGATATTGTCATTGATTAACGGAGATATTGTTCTAGATTAGCAAAGATATTTTGTTAGGTGATCACTATATGCTAAGATATGACATTTATGGAAGATCTTTGCGTTGCTAGTTGTTAGGGTTTTGACCGTTTAGGGTTTTACTACATGATGATAGATGAGAAGCCTAATGTGGGTAAGTTGGAGGAGGTTAGCTTAGATTGTGGGTGAGCTGGGGATATCGGCTTGGAGGGTTGTACATAAGCCTCCTGAGCTCCAAATTCTTTAGAGGGGAGAAGTTATAAATTGTGTTGAAGTTGCTTTATTTCTTGACTTGAGCTATGGTAGGTTGTTTGGTTTGATTCTAGTGTGTTGTGTATGTATGAGTTGATAAATTTCAAGACTTGCAATTGTAAAGGAGATTGACTTGTGATTGTAATAGTAGGGAGATCAAGTTGTGATTATTGTAGTAGAGAGGAGGGATAAACTTGTGATAATAATGATAAAGATATCAACTTGTGATCTAATGGTGAAGAAATCAACTAAGTTAGGTGACACATGGGCTCCTCGAGTTTCGAGCCTATTAGGACATATGAGCTACAAGTGAGGTTACTTTGAGCATATGAGCTTGTGAGAGTCAAGATTGGAATTGAATGATGCATAAAGGTCACCAAGGCGGGAAAGATATAGGTTATGGGGTCGTTTTGCACTTAATGTGTTATTTGACAATTTTTTTGTGTTGCATTAATGGTCATAAATGCCATGTGTCAAATTTTGTACTTTTAATGGTACATGGTTTTCTATTTATTTCTATGGTTCTAGTGATGCTCTTGACCATGGTTTTTGCGATTTGTGAAATGTGTCTCTGACATTCTCCATTCGATGGGCTATTTCTTAGCATTTGTTTTTTGTGAGGTATGTCATTTTGTCATTGGTGGTTGTGTCATTCGATAGTTTCTTGAGTTGTTATTTGTTGTAGGCATTGGTGAGTAATGGTTGGTTTTTTTGTCAGAGGTGTAGTTGTTCTAGATAATGGTTCAAAGAGAGAAAGGGTGGTGACTTTGAAGGCAGAAGTCAACATGTTATGGCCAAAATTGGATGTTAGTCCTTTGGAGAGAGTGTCATTGGAAATTTGGAGGCTAAGAGGAAGAGTCTGGAGAAGTTGAAGGATTATCACTAGAAGGATGACTTGCTAGTGGCGAAGGTGGTGAAATTGTTCGTTGAGAAGAATGCAGTTGTGCAAACATTTGATAAGTGTGTGAATGATGAAGAGAAGTTGTCAATGGAGAAGTTGTTGGCGATGTCAAAGATCAAACGATATGTAAAAGATGTGGATATGTTGTTGTTTAGGTGATCTTTGATGATGTCGTAGATAAGAAGGCATATGTCTCAAATGACAAAGTTGGAGGCGGATGCGACTAGGGAGTTATCTTGTGGTTTTATAGGGTTGTGCATCATGTGGCATTAGGGATGACAAGTAAATCCGTATATGTGGATAATGTCCAAATTTGTCCTAACTTTAACAATGAATACCCGATTTGACCAGACAAGGGTACGTGTTTGAGTAATACCCGATTTATTAAACCAGGTACAGGGGTGGAGATGGGTACATACATATCCGTCCTATACCCGAACCCACTTTAAGTTTTTAAATATATAATTTATTTTTTTAGAATTTACCTAAAATTTTTATGCAATTTCTTATTCTATTTTTAATTGATGTCAAATAAAGCTTAATTAATATTATTTTGTAATTATTATTTTATGTTGAAATTCTTATTTTTTTATATATATTTTTTGTAAAAAAGAATATTAATTAATTTTTTGACGGGTACGAGACAAATATGGATATACCCCATATTCGACGGGTATGGAGATATAGACACAATTTTCATACTCGTCAAGTATGAGGACAAAGATGGGTATAGGGTATAGGAACAGGGACGAGGATGGGTATAGAGAAACTCGTACCCATCCCATCTCATTGCCAACCCTAGATGGCATATCATTTGCCTAAGTCTCCTTATACTAAGCTAAGTGTTGATCTTGATGTTATCAAGGATGAGTTGGTGAGGGATCGTGATCTTCTCGATGAAGATGATACCAAAAATTCTTCTAATGAAGAAGATATGTCTACGACTCCGAGGTTGATTGTATGTCTTTTTGTGGGGAGGTGGGGGTTAAATGTAAAGTCCCTGATTTTTAAATCTTGTTTTGTGTTGCTGATAATCATTTTGTTTTAACTAAGTACATTTGTTGTCGGATTCGATTATTACAAGTTGAATGATATTCAGAGTTTGCATGTTCATTGTGCATGGTAGTCCAACACGAATTGTGAGAGTTATAGGTTATGAAGAAGGTTGTTGGAGGTTGTCCTCCTATAAATCGTGTGTGAGAATTGTAAGAGTTCGGTCGTAAAAGATTATACATGAGAGCTACTGTGCTCGGAAATCACATGGATAAAGTTTAAATACATGAGAGCTTGTTTAAAGATGCGAGAGCTCATTCGTTTGGACATCGTGTGTAAAAGTGTAAAGAAGTGAGAGCTTATTCTTTTAGACATCGCGTATAAAAATGTAAAGACGTGAGAGTTCACTTGCTCAGACATTGTGCATAGGAAATGTGTAAGACATGAGAGCTCATTTGCTCAGAAATCGCGTATAAGAATGTAAGGACGCGAGAGATCATTTGCTCAAACATCGCACATAGGATATGTGTAAGACATGAGAGCTCATTTGCTCGAAAATCGCGTATGGAAATGTAAAGATGCGAGAGCTTGTTTGCTCGAACATCACACATAGGAGATTTAAAGACATGAGAGCTCGTTTGCTTGGACATCGTGCATGAGAGAAGTAAAGGTGCGAGAGCTCGTTCACTTAGAAATTGCATATGGGAATGTAAAGACATGAGAGCTCGCTGACTTGAACATATCGTGCATAGGAGATGTAAAGATGCGAGAGCTCATTTACTCAGACATCACACATGGGAAATGGGTAGTGCAGATTTTCAGTTTATTGTGGTGAGGGTGATTGTGTTTAAAAAATAAGCCTATAGGATTGTTTTGATGAATCAATTGAATGTTTTACATGATCTCAAGGTGCCTCGTTAAAATCTCCATAGTCAAAAACCCTTTTATGAGAAAAACGTTTAAGGTAGGAAAAATAGTACACATCCCAGTTGTGGTGGTGTTAGCTAAAGTAGTGTTTCAGGTGAGTGACATTCCATGTTCTTGGTAGTGGTTTGCCTCCAAGCTCTTCAAGTCGATATGCTTCGATGTGTAAAATTTTGGTGACACGGAAGGGGCCTTCCCATGTAGGGTCAACTTTTCCTACTAGTTTGTCACATCGTGCTTCCATGGCAACTCACCAAATGAGGTCACTTAGTTAAAAAGTACAAGGCTTTAGTTTGGAGTTGTGGCAATGA